TCTAGCTCTTTTCATTCTATCTAACCTTTAGATTTTCTTTAGGAGAAGAACTACGAACACTTTCTTTGTTGCATGTCTGGTTTAAAACACTGTCTAATACCTGATGCTTTTAAACTTCCACTTGGGAAGTTCTTATCTGTTATAAAATAACAAACTTTGGCATTTAGTATATTGTATTGAATATGTTTGCAGTATATCTTAATCACATGCAAGTATAAAATATTATCCATTTATACTTGAAGTTAAAGTAACCTTTAATTTTTTTTATATGTACATGTTGAACCTCTCTTTTCAAGTATTGCCAAAAATAAAATTTCAACAAAATGCTGCTGAAGGACAGATTGATATAGGAAAGTCCTGGGTGAGGAAACTCAATGCGTGTCAGCATTTTCTCTGCAAAATATAGTCTTAATTGCCTAAATCACTGAGAGGAAAAGTAAGGTAGTTGCCTAGTTTCACACATCCGGTATGTGTAAAATAAATCAATCAATAAATATTTATTGAGCACTTACTACATGCCAGGTACATTGCTAAGTACTGGGCATACAAAAAAGAGGTAAAAGACAGTCCCTGCCCACAAGGAAGGAGCTCACAGTCCAATGGAACAGTTAAAAAGGGAAGGCACTAGAATTAAGAGGAGTTAGCAAAGGCTTCCTGTAGAAAATGGGATTGAGGTTGGGACTTGAAATAAGCCAGGGAAGCCAGGAGGTGGAGATGAGGGAGGATATTCCAGGCATGAGGGAGAGCCAAAGAGAATGCCAGAAGCATTTGTGTGTAAGGTGGTTCATTTGTGAATGATGGCAAGATAAAGGGTGTGATCCTCTTTGTGACTGAGGTGGGGTCGTGGGAAATGAGTAGGTTGAAGAAATTGAGTAGTTAGTGTTTGAGGGGACAGTCAGTATGTGTGATGAAGTATATTCATAGGAGAGTAGGAATTGAGGAAAAGAGAAAATTTGTGAGCCAGATCCAGAACTGAAATGAGGAAGAAAGGGGAGTGACAGGGTCTATATACTAAACAACTACCAGGATTTTGATTAGGTGGTATATATGAATAGCACAGACCTCAAAGGAGGAGAAGTTACTGAGTGCTGGAGGCAGGAGGAAAACCTGGAATTGACAATGGGGAAGAAGGCGTATTCTAGCTCCCCTGTCTTAACAAGTTAGCTGAGGGAATGAGTGAAGGTACAGCCAATACTGGAAAGGGTGGACAGGGACACTATCATAGGGAAAGAGACAGGTTTCATTGATTGGTCAAAGATGGAAGGAGTAAGAGAAGAAAAGAATTAGGATGAAGCAAAGTTTGATGCCTATGGAACAGACATTCCAGAGGAATGGGATATGGATGGTGTTTAGATGGGACTTTGGGGTGAGAGCCTTGAGAGGGATGGGAATAAGGAATCAGGAGGTAAGGATTTGGATTATCTAGAGGTGTTCAGTATCACTGGGTATATAGAGTGTGGAACAGGTGTAAGTACATTCATCACTGAGTGGAAGGAACAACTCCTCTTTCCAAAGGAGCTTGGAAATTAGGTAGGAGAAAATCTGGAGCTTGAGATGGAAGCCACATTGCCAGGAGGCAGCAGTTGAACCCAGATCTTTATCATGCTGTAGCTATAATGACATAGAAATACAACCATTATTAATTACCTTCTTTTACAAAGCAAACAGATACTATGTATTGGCAGCAATATAAAGTTTACATGAGACATAGTCCCTCTGCACAAGGAATATATATAGTCTAGTTAAGGGGGAATAAGGCATCAACAAATAACTATAATGTATGCTGCTACATAATATGTTAGAATATTACGTAAAATAAAAGTGTTAAGTGAGGTTTTGGGGGGAAAGTTATTTATTACTAACCATGGAAATTGGGGGTGGCTTCCTGAAGTAGAGGTAACTTTTTTGTTGGACTTAAAAGAGGAGCAGGAATTTAATAGATGAAAAAGAGGAGGGGAGAGTATTTTAGGAATACAGGACAACCTGAATGAAAACAGAGCTATAGGAACATCCTACATTTTCAGGGTAGGGGGAAGGGAAAGTACTTTAGTTTGGCTGTAATATATCTAGACTGTGTGGAAAGTTTGTTTCCAAACTGTAGAAGTTCTACAACACCAAGTAGACAAAAGTTTGAAGTTTATTTGGTTAGCAACAACTAATATGAAGATTTTTGAACAGACAAGTGGCATTACAAATGTGAGTGTAAAAAAGGTTTTTTTGATAATAGTATAATGAGAGTATTGGAAATGGGAGAAAATGAAGGCTGGAAGATGTGTTGGGAGGCTGTAGTAATAGGTTAGATGAGAAGTAATAAGGATCTGTCCTGGGAAGGTGGGGAGTTGGTGTGTGCAGTGAGAATAAATAGGACTTGGGTAACTTAGATGTGAACAGGAGAGGGAGAATAAAGAACCAAAGATAACAGAAGACAGATCCTTGGGAAACACCCATATAAAGGGGCTAAGAAGAAAAGAGACAGGATCCCTGAAAAGTAGGATAAGAATTAAAGTCAGTCAGTAAACACTTATTAAGCACTTGCTATGTGCTAAGTACAAAGAAAGGCAAAAAACAGTCTTTGCACTCAAGAAGCACACAAGGAAGAAATCAATATGAACTAAATATATATGTGTGTGTGTATTTTCTAAAAATATATATTATTATTATATAATTACCAGAGGGAAGAAAGTAGAATTAAGAGGGATTGAGAAAGTCAGAGAAGCCAGTAGACAAACAGATGAGAAGGGAGCGCATCTTAGTCCTGGTGGACAACCGGAGAAAATAACCAAAGCCTAGAGATGGAGTGTCTTGTTCGTGGAACAGCAAGGAGGCCAGTGTCACTGGATTGAGGAGTAGGGTGTAAAAGGACTGGAAAGGTAGGAGGGTGCTAGGTTATAAAGGGCTTTGAATGCCAAATAGAGGGTTTTATATTTGATCCTGGGGGCAGTTTCGAATCTCTGGAGTTTGAGTGAGGGGTAGGGAATTGTAACATGGTCAGACCTGCACTTTAGAAAAATCTTTTTTTTCCCTCTTTTTTGACTGATTAGAGGATGGGAGTGGGGAGAGACTTGAGGCAAGGAGGTGACAAAATTCTGCACCAGGATGGTGTCAGTGACAGAGGAGGGAAGGCCATGTGTTTGAGAGATGTTGCAGAGGTGAAATTAAAAAGGCCTTGGCAGCAGATTGGATATGTGGAGAGGATATATTGAATATATGGGTTAAGAGATAGATAGTGAGGAGCTGATGGTAGTAGTTTTGCCCTTTAACCTAATAGGGAATTTAAGAAGCATGTCTAGGGAGAATGATAATGAATTTCATTTTAGTCATGTTGAGTTTAAGATGTCTACTGGACAACCAGTTCAAAATGTCTTACAGCCAGTTGGAGATGCAAGATTTGAGGTCAGTTAAGAGGACAAGATAGGCATATCTGAGAATCATCAGCATATAGATGGTAACGAAATCCATAGGAGCTGACTAAATCGCCAAGTAGTATAGAAGAACAGAAGAGGACCAAAGACACCTATGGTTAGAGAGTGAGATCTGGATGAGGATCCAGCAAAGGAGCAGCCAGTACTGGAAAAGGGGAGTCAGGAAAGCTATGTCATCCAAGTGGAGCCAGGTTTTAGTAGTAGCTAGTAAATTAAAAGAATGGAAGAGGAAAAACATTTAGGATGAAGGGAAGTTTATTGCCTTTGGAACAGACATTTCATGGGGCACGGTTGAAGGGGTGGGTGGTATTTGATTGGATCTTTGCCTTGGAAGGGTTGACAGGGATGGGAATAAGGAATTGGTTGGTGGGGCTGGAATATGATCTACAGATGTGTAGGGTGTGACCAGGGGTGAGAATGTTCATCACTCAGTGCAAGAAGCCTCTCCTCTTCCCAAAGGAGGCTGGAGATCAGAATGAGAGACAAGTGCCATATGAGACAAGATCAGATGGCAGATTGAGTGTGATGTCTCTGAAAGTAGAGGGAGATGAGAGCATCTTGAAGGAAGAGATAATCAAAAATTGCAGAAGGCCAAAATGGAAGGGGGAATGCTATTGGATTTGTCAATTAGTGCATCATTAATGATCTTAAAGCAGAACGGTGGGGGCAGAAACTTGATTGCATCAGGCTGAGGAGAGAGTGGATGACAAGTCAGTGGCTTGACTAGTTGCAGACACATTTTCCCCAAAAAGTTTGACACTGAGGGAGAGAAGATAGAAAAGTCAAAGAAACAATTTTTAAGCATTGGAGAAACTGTAGTGTGTTTGAGAAACAGTCCAGTGGTGATCAAGAGATTAAAGATGTATTTAAAAGAAGGGATGTGCTTCTGCTTAAGTCTGTCTTAAAGGAAGTGGGATTGAGAACGGAGGGATTATGAATCTTTACAATTAGTAGGATATCTCCTTTGTGACTGGTGGAAAGGAAGCAAGGGTGTTGATATTGAGATAGCTAGAGAAATTGAGGATGGGTAGTAGGAGGCTAAGTCTTCTATGTTTTTTCTTTGGTGGCAAGATAGGAAAAGAAAAAGTTTGGAATTGCTGTAATGAAGTGAAATAAGAAGTCAAGGGTAGTATAGGATTATTGAGCAGTTGTAAGAGAGCCTTTTTGAAATATTTTTCCATATACACATCAAAGACCTTTTACTAAGTATCAGAATTTGTTACAACCATATGATTATGTTTTCCAGCATCTCATCTGGCTTGGGGCCCCACTACCCATATAGGACTGCCACTGCTTTCTTTTTTTCCTTTTTTTAAAACAGCTTCAGCCTCTCATATCTAACAGCAAGAACAGGGTGGAGATTGATATGCATAATCACAACCACTTGTCAGATATCTTAAGTGGTGATTGCTTTGATGTAATGGGTTGGACTAAATGACTTCTGAAGTCCCTTCTAACTCTCAGATTGTGTACCGTTTCCACTTACTTTGCATACCCCCCATCCAACCTTCTACAGAACAAGATAATATAGCTAATACTAAACTTAATGGTATTAAAAAATTTTTTTTTCTTTTACAGGGACTTGATTTTCATATGGAGTAAACTGCAACTTAAATCTAATCCTTCAAAGCAAGTTTTTGTAGACCAATGCTACCAGCTTTTAAGGACAGCAACTAATGTGAGAGTCATTTTTCCTTTCATGAAAATAATAAAAGATGAGGTAAAATTTTTTTAATTTTGCATTTTAGGTTAAATATGATAATTCAATTTTAAATGAAACTTACATGTTGCTGAAAGAGAGTATTGTTTAATTATAGAGAGGTAGAGAGTTAAAGTATCCTTAACATTCCTTTTACATGATTCTATGATATAAACATTGGGACTATACATGAAAAGGCAGTTTAAGTGGGAAAAAAAAATAAATGTAATATTATTTTGCCATTCACTCCATGACACAATTTTATCTAGGGACAAAATTTTAGCTTTACTCCAAAGTCTGTTTTTTTCCAACATTTTTTAAAAATCTGGTTGCTAATTTGTATGTTAAAGCCTATATACAGAAACTAACCTAATTTTCAGATTAAGCTGTTTGTCTGCACAGTAGTAACTCTTAAGAGAAGCTTGATTCAGAAATATTAAGACACTGTTACAATAAACATTTTACTTTCTTGATCTTAAGGTAGTTTTTAAAATAAAAATCTTTTTAAACTCAAATCTTCAGTAATTGATAAATCTTACAATATGGGTACATACTCCAATAGTACAGAAACTATCCACATATTTTCATTCTGTGCAAGACTTGTTCATGACCTTTATAAAACCTTCACAGTAGGTCCACCTACTATAATATAGATCTTTCTTTAGATCTCTTGACATTCCATGGGATATTTCATCCTTTGCAGCTCTGTAGAATCACTAGACGCATATTGCCTTTTTTTTTTTAATATGCCTTCATTTCAGGGAAAAGCCTGGAGTCACTAAAAATATTGAACAATTTTCCAAATATCAAATGCATTGCTATTCATTGTCCACCCATAGTATCTGACCAAGATATGTGATGTATGGAGACATCAGCTTTATGGACTATCTATTAAACTGCATATCATGGTCTTACAGTAGACATTCTTCATCCACTTGGATTTTCCTGTGTAGATATTTAGATCTATCTCTAAACGATTGTGGATTTCATTTAGGACCCTCTGCAGTGTTCCAGAGCTTGACACAGTCTATACAATGTTATCTGAAAATAGGACCATTTGGAGGATCTATATGGAATCTTTATTCCATTTAGACTTGGGAATAAATATTTTCCACTATAGTGTCAGACACCTTTGGGAAGTAGATTTCTCCCTATTTTTTTCCTTCACTTCATACTAATAATCACAGACTCATCAAAGTTATCTATAATTTCATCTCTCTAATATATTCATGGGAAACAATTTATTGAAAAAGAGCCTTTGAGATGGCCTTTTACTTTTTAAATAATTTTTAAAAATCAATTAAGCATGTAAGATCCTGTTTTCTCTGCTTTTTAGTCACTTACGTGACTATAAATATATAGTCTGCTACAGAATATCTTTGTGAAAGGCATAACCTCCCCCCCCCTTTTTGTTAAAGGATGTGTTAAGGGAAGTGATATATTGAGATATGACATTATGTAACAGAATGCAATAATAAAACAATTTTTAAAAGTCAAACATAATAGGAACAACCAGGGCTGTCAGCAAGTTTACCTGGTTTTTAACTAAGATGCTGATCTTTGCATTTTCATTATAAGCTTTGGATTATGTGAATATTAAATAAATGTGTTTCATATTTTTAGAAGGGTTATCTTTGATTCCTTTTTAGATTCTTTTCGTAAAGATTTTCTCAAGATGGAAAAGTAGACACATTGGTTGGCAGCTTTGTTGTTGTAGTGGTGGTGGTTGTTTTGAAACAAACACATGATCTTTCTCCTTTCTCAGATTTTTTGAGAATCAGGTCACCTAGCATCCTCAAAATTTTGTCACTTCCAGCATAAACCTCTGTTGTAAATACTTGGTCTAGTCTAGCTGTTCTTCCCATTTCATTGCTTCTTTAGTGTCATTTTTGCTTCCTTATGCAGCACATAGGTGACTATTACATTAGGATCTAGATGTGGTGGCTCATATTCAAATAACTTTTTTAATCAAATAGAAATCTGGACAGATCTTTTTTCATGTTTGCCATTCCAAGTACATCTTCAGATACTCTTAAAGTGGTCTGAAATGATTAGTTCTCTCATCATGTTTCCAGAAACTAATTTAAACAATTTTCCAAATGCAATCAAGTGCATATGTGACCTCTCCATCAGCTTTATGGACTATCTACTAAACTGCATATCATGGTCTTAGAGTAAACATTCTTCTTCCACTTGGATTTTCTTGTGTAGATATTTAGATTAACTTAAACTAATTTTTACCCTTCCCTACTCCTCACTGTTTTAAGAGATGATACAGTGCATAATCTTTCACTATTTTCCTCTCTAAGATTTTATAAATGGGTTTGTACTCTAAGCCCAGTTGCCATGTCTCTGCTTAGTAAGGAGATGGAAAATTTCTAGGCTCTTTTGTTTTCCTTTGTGATAATTGATTTACATGAGTTACATTTCCTTAGGAAATAGTTAATAATTAGGAAACAATAAATGTTAACATCTGTATTTTATCCAGTTTTAATTTAGAAGCACCAAAAGCTTGTTTTTAAAAGGTCAAGTTAGAGTTGGTTTTTTTGTTCAACATATCATCTCATTAAATTCTTCTAATTTGATATTGATTTGAGGGGAGTCCCTCTAACAAGTTGCTGATCTGACTGTACAAAGACAATTGGCTCAAAGTGATTTTCAACATTGGTAGCTGAGTTGTTTCCTGTCTTTTAGGTTATAGTCAACATCATTGGGGAATGGAGGGAGGGGGTAAGAGGTGTCTCTAGGTGTTCTGTACCTCTAACTCTCACTTAGATAGTGTTCATGGTATATAAGCATGAGGTTTCTGCTTAATCTAGAAGCTTTTGGCCTCTTTTTTTGTTTGTTTCTTAGGCCTGAGCAATGTTTTTAAATAATTTTTTCATAGTCATCCCCTATGCTTGCTTTTACATTGAAGTCACTGAGTATTAAAGTAATTGATGGTTTAATTTGGAGGATCTTTTCATGTTCATAGTATTTCTCTACCTCCTCATCCTCTGCAACAGATGTTGGCACACAATCTGCAATTCATAGTGGTCTTTTTACAGACTATCATAAGCTCTGAAATTCAAAGTGACCAAGTGTCCCATGAAATGATGTTACCTGTTGCCTTTGGACATATGATAAAACCAGCTCTGCTATATCCTTTATTTGTCTCTCCAGGGACAACTTGTGGGGTGTCTTTCCATTTAGCTGTAACTTCCTTTTTTTCTTCTGATTTTACTTATAATAACAGTCAGTAAATAAATTTGACTTCTTCCAGTGCAGTGTTCATTCTGGTTTCTAGACAAAGATCTTACATTTAGAGTGCCAATAGTTAATGTGTGTAGATGGTTTCAAATTTTGTGATTCTTAGTATTCAACATGTTGTAAAAATTAAAAAAAATTAAGCCCCAAATCAAGGGGCCTGGCCCATTGTCAAATGGGTATGTTTCTCAATATGGGCCTTAACATATATATCAAACAGAATCTTGAAGATTCTTTAATTCCTTCCCTAAAATTCTAGCTTGAATTTTGAACACAAAGATATGGAGAGGAAAAGCACCCCTATATTTCATTGTGGCTCCATTTAACCAACTTTGTGTATGATTAATACATGTAATGAGGAGTCTTTAAGGTAAATTTTCATTTGTCATAGCTACTTTATACTTATCACATGTTCATTGCTACATCTGTCATTAGTATGCATATGAAATTGTAATATTCCTAGTTTTCATAATATAAACATTTCCAGGCTATCCATAATCATATTGCAGTACTATTGAAAGGTCTTGTCATTTTGTTATTTATTTTATCATCTGAGTTAAATTCAAGAAATTCAGATTTATCAAAAATTTATTAAATGTTTTACTAAGTGCAAAGCGTCTAATAAAAACAAGTAAAATTACTATATAATGTGTTTAGAATATAGAAGGCAAGCGTCCATTATAGCTTATTTTTACATTTCAGCTGCTTAGGAAGGGAAATTGAAAGATGGTACAGACATTTAAAATGTGTTAAAATAATCGGTTACATCATTTGAATTTTAGTACTGAATGCAGAAGTCTGCTATTTGTTTGTATATGTTCCATGCCCACTTTTTAGAAGCTTTTAGAGTATCCAAAACCATTCAGGCCATTAGCTATAGCTTGAATTAAAGATAATAAATGAACCCTATTCAAGTAAGAACTAAGTTTATTGCCTTTCAAGTCACCAAAACAAGTTTTCAAAGCCTGAATTGAAAGGTATTTCATTTATCTTCTTCATGGGTTCTGTTTCTCTCAATAAGTTATTATTTGATATTCACATCATTAATACCATTCTTGGTACTTCATTTAATTTTGAACCTTTTAAAATAAACTTTCTTCCCCTCATTTGGAAGGACCCACCTGATAATTTGCAGACCGACTTTATATTGCAAATAATCAAGCATCATATAAAATTATTTAATACCATTTTCTGAAAAAGTTTCTATTGTTAAGATTTGAGTCTTTTAAAACCCTATTATTAAGTAACATTATCCAATATATAAATGTGAGTTGTTATAATTGATATTTGCCCCAAATATGTGTTACATGAAATTCTCTAAAGTACTGGAAATTTAGTCTGTGTACTATATAGCTGCCAATATCTAATTAATGTATGAAAATGGAATGCCACTATTGGGATTAAGAAATTAGATGAAGTTACTGTTTCTGACACATTCTATGATTTTTTTTGGAAAGGGAGGATTATATAGCTGTCCTGTTTCATATGGAAATATAAAGTTGACAGTTTTAAAAATGATTATGTTTTTAATCTTAAGCATTAATAGTTGAAATAAGTTTCATCATTCTTCTATAAATATTTGTCTCAACAGTTTTATATCCCAACTTGATTTTCACTTGTCTCATTGTGAATTGTTACTTTTCTTGCTATATTAATGCTCCATGAATAAGTATTGACAGATGACATAATGAAGTATTCTGATATGTCTCCAAGCTGTAAATATATGTCGATTAACATATCGTATGTCTGTGTGTTTGAGTGCTATATATACTTGATGTAAGAGTTAGACTGAAACACCTTCAAAAGGTTATATTACAAGGAAATTGGAAGGGGACGAATTTGAAAGGGAAAGTAAGTGAGATACTGTTGAGCTTTCATTTCAATTTATGCAGTGCCAAAATAAAATTCTTACATAGTAATAAAATAAATTTTTCTTTCTTCAGGTTGAAGTAGAAGGCTTACAAATTTGTGTTGAAATATGTGGATGTGCTCTACAACTGGACCTACAGGATGATCCAAACACTAAATGTCTAATTTATAAAACAATTGCTCATTTTTTGCCAAATGACTTGGAGATTCTCAGGATTTGTGCACTCTCAGTATTTTTTCTTGAACGCTCCTTGGAATCCTATTATACTGTTGAACGGCTCTATAAACATCCAGATGAAGAGTACAATGAATGCACTAGTTCTGTCCAGAATCGTGTTCGTTTTGAATTGCTCCCAATTTTGAAAAAGGGGTTGTTTTTTGATCCTGAATTTTGGAATTTCATAATGATTAAGCAAAATTGTGCAGCATTACTGAGGGATAAATTAGCAGTTGGATTTTTAAATGAAAATACACTGGAAAATGCTACCAGTAATCCTGGAAAGATGATGGAAACACAGGTTTTAGACGAAGAGCTAGTCTTTCTTATGGACCTAAGCAATGGGGAATATGATCCTGAAGATATCTCTGGATCCCAGTCCAAAGGTCATGGTAATACCAAGAAAAACCTTACAACTTTTAATGCTTCTAAGGTAGACCGTAATGTTCCAAGGCATAAATGTGTATTGTGTAACAGAGAATTTCTAGGTGGTCACATAGTACGGCATGCACAGGCTCACCAGAAAAAGGGCAGCTTTTCATGTGTAATATGTGGTAGAAAATTTAGAAATAGAGGTCTTATGCTGAAGCATTTAAAGAATCATGTTAAGAAATACAAAGGCAGCACTTTGCTGTAGTTCAGGAAGATCAGGGAATTTCTACAACAGAACAAATAAACTGCTCTAATGCTTCTATTTCATTTGAAAATGGAAATTCAGATATTAAAGACAATGAAGTAGAAACTCCTGTTGCATATAACAGTGAAAACAAGGAAGAAGAAACCTTTGAACAAATGGCTGAAGTGACTAAAAATATTGTGTGTGAACCTCATGATGTCATTAAAAATGGCAGTTCTGATAGTTCTCTAAATAATGCTCCAGAGCCTCTCACCACTGAAAGTTTACCCAGATGTATTGATGATGATGATTTAAATCGAGAGACTCCAGTACTTCACAAAATAAATGGAACTGTTTGCCCTCAAAAAGATCTGAATATTGTGGATCAGCAAGAAAATTTCAAGTGCCCTGCTAATGGATGTGTCAGAATATTTAAAAAAATAAGATTTCTGAATAAACATGCAAGGAAAGCTCATCCAACTGATTTGAAGGTACAACAACATATAATGAAGTGGAACAAAGGAAAGTGCCGATTTTGTCAGCGGAAATTTGAGGATTCTCAGCATTTTATAGATCATTTGAAGAGACATATATATCCAAATGTGTACTTTTGTTTACATTTTACCTGTAATCAGAGATTTAAGCTGTCAACCGAGCTTGCAGAGCATACAAAAAGTCACAGTGTTTTTCAGGCTCAGTGTAATTTTCCAGAATGCCATGAGCTTTTTGAAGAGCTTCCTCTGCTATATGAACACGAAGCTCAGCATTATTTAAATCCAACACCAGAACCTTCTGCAGAAACAAGTAGAAATGTTTTGGATACTCTTACAGAACTTCAGTGTGATAGTCAGGAAAAAGACTTATCTGGTAGTGAAAAGGAAGCTGTTGATCTGCCAGTTCCCACTTGGAAATCAAGGAAAGATTCTACAGAACCAAAGACATATATACAAAGTGTTGAAAAGAAGACAAACAGTGTAGTTCAGAATGGGAATGACCATACTTCTGATGTCACTGCTTCAGCTATAAGCTTCATAGACCAAAAGATGACTGTTGTAGAGCCAAATTCTGAAAAAAGTAGTGTTATTAGTGACCAACTGTTAGTCAATGGACACAGTGAATCAGAGCAGACATCTTTGGTTTCATCAGATGTTGCCCTGAAAATTGAGACAAGTGGAACAAGGACAGAAAATGGTTCCATTTCACAGAACGTTGAAGTAGTACCACAAGAACACAGTCCTCTAATAGTAGTCTCTCAGTCACCTTCCAAACCAAATCCACCAACTGAAAACACTTCATATGGTTTAATTTTAACCAAGCCATATGTGAGACCGTTGCCTCCCAGTTATCTTGATGAACGGTACATCAGTATGCCAAAACGTAGAAAAACTCTGACTGATAAAGTAGATGCCCATTCTGATCAAGATAGTGTTTATAGCACATCGTCAGAGAGATTTAGATGTGGCAACTGCTTGACCATCTACTGTAACTCAGAAGCACTTGAGGCTCACCTTGCACAAAAGAAATGTCAGACGCTGTTTGGATTCGACTCAGATGATGAAAGTAAGTCTTATAACACATGTTGGGGGGAGGGGAGAGGATTAGGTAAATAAGTGAAAAATTGCAATAGGGCAAAACTAAGTTAAGGCATTCAATATAGCTATTATGTCATTTTAGTGTAATAAATGAGAAGAAATTAAAGAGTGATCGTGACAGAAACAAATGCATTCCAGCTCGTTAGAACATAAAGCTGGGGGGCAGCTAGGTGGTGCAGTAGATAGAGCACTGGCCCTGGATTCAGAAGATCTTGAGTTCAAATCTGGCCTCAGAGACACAGCACTTACTAGCTGTGTGACCCTGGGCAAGTCACTTAACTCCATTGCCTAGACAAAAAAAAAAGAGAACATAAAGCTAAGGTAGTGTGGGCTACCTTTAAAAGAAAAAAGCATTAGAAGAGTTGAAAAAACTTTTAAACATTTTTGCTAGATGGAGGAAAAATTCAGAGATGGAAAATTGCTTTTTTATAACCTGTACAGTAAGAATGTAGTGGAAAGAGTTTGGAGTCAAGAGCCCTGCTGGGTTTGAATGCTGGCTTTGCTTACTCTTCCTATGTGACCTTGAGTGAGTTACTTAACATCTCTGGGCTGTGGGCTTTCCATCTTAAAATGAGGAATTTCAACTAGATGATATAAGATTTGAGGTCACTTCCAGCTCTAAATTGTATGGTCCTATGAACTAGATCTATTAAAAAACTGAAGTTAACAAGCATGTTCTTCTTTACAGGTGCCTGATAAAATGTTATTGAAAAATTTTTATCAAGGAGTGGTGTGAAAAAAAGCACTACAAAAAATGCATCATCAATTTGCTCTTTCCCAGTTGGCCTTAATCATAGAGTGGTCTCAGATTACTAAAGAACAATATAAAGAAAAAGCACATTTTCTAGAATGAACTCACAAAGGAGATGTGCCAGTTTTGACTCCCGAAGGGTTACTATAAAGATCCCAAAGTACCAGTTATCCAGAAGACCACACACTATAGGAGTGTATGATCAAAGCACAGCAGCACATTCAGTTTAATTTATTAACACCTCATGAAGAAGCATTCAACCCAAGAAGAAAAGTAGCTGTGGCCTTAAAGAAAGGAATAATGTGAACCTGTAAAGAAACAAAAATAAAACATGATTTTAAAGGAATTCGAAAGCTATTTTCCAAACAGTATTTGTTTTCTTTTTATGCATGTACAAATAATGCCCTTCATTTCTTGATGAAACATAATATGAAGACATTAATAGCAAATTGTGATTTGCTTGGAAATAGAAACATAAAAAAACCCACTTTGATTTACTATCATGTTAGCCCTTAAAGTTTGTGGGGAATGACTTTTTAAAAACTTGTTTCTACGAAGCATAAATGAAAGTAGGTAGAGAAAATCTTGGTGAGGTGACATATCAGAATTTAAAAATGAAATTCCAGGAAATTAGGTCTAAAATGTGTCCAGACTTTTGATTTAAAACAAAATAAAATTTCTCCACTTTTGCAGTACAGGATGAAGTTAAATGACAAGTTATCTTTTAATATAATTTTAATATAAAATTGCAAAATTAACTTTTTAGGATATGAGAATCAAAGGAAGGCTAACAAGAGAATAATGAAATCTTGAAAACAATGAATTGAAGTTTCAAGTGTATATTTTGTGCATTACACACACATATCTTGAATTGTGTGAATTGAATTGAATGGTGTCAATTATCTAAATGAGGTCTTATGAAGACGAAAGTTACCTTTAAAAATATATTAAATAGAATTAGAGCAAGAAACCATTTATTTAATGTTCCAATACTAATTATATAATGATAAATTTGGCTTTCTAAATAGAAATATTTTTTTAATCACATCCTAAAATAAGAATTTTAAACAGAATTTTGGCTATAAGAATATAGGTATCATTACAGTAATGGCCAGTAATTTTCCTAGAAGAGGTTTTAACCTTAACTGCCAATAAACAACTAAAGCAAGACAAAGTTTTAAAAGAAATAATACTCTGAAATATTGTTTTCATTTAATGGAAGCTTGCATACATCCCTTTAATTTTTCTTTAAAATTTTTTTTAATACTAGAACATTGCAATTTGTCCAGGCTTAGAAGTATGTGAACATGAACATGATCCCACTACTGTCTATACAGGAGTTTTGACCTGTACCTGTTCACCTTTCCCTAGGCAACCTAATGATCCTTCTTCCCCATCCTGATTTCTAGGGGCTCATAACACTGGTGCCATACAATGTGTAGACACCCAAAATCCATAGCTAACTGCAACTCAGAACTCCCAAGCTCAAGAGATCTGTCAGCCTCAGTCTTCCCAGTAGGTGGGGTTGCAAGCCTACACCACTATGCCCCACCACACTTATCCTTTTATATATTGTTACCTAAGCCAGAAACCAACCTACCCAAAATACATTAACCAAAAAAAAAAAATCCTAAATAAAATTTCTCTTTAAAAAGCCTTGGTTTTTCAGGGTAGGTGGACACATCTGACCCAGCTACATAAAATGTAGAGTATCAAGTTCTTTGATAAAGAACTTTGGACGTTTTTCTTTTAAGACTGAAACTAGACTTCACAGAAATAGTGTTTCTGACTCAAGTATTTAAGTGATCCAGAAAATATTTCCTAATTTTAGGTGCAAAAATTATTTCTTACACTTTCAATGTCCGATTGTTTTATGTGACAGAAGAGCATTACAATCTATAGAAATTAAATTTAGGGTTTTATGGACAGCACTGGAATTCACATTTGCATAGGGGTTAGGTTTAATTATATGTATCTTTGTTACATATCTTTGGCCACATGTTGATCTACATTTTTTTTTGAAACTGTAGACTTAAGTAGCCTAATACATCGCCATGTGCTCATTGGGAACCTTTTTATGTTTCTATGAGTATAATCATTTTTAATACTTTTTGCTTAAATACTTGGGCTCTAACGTGTTTGGAGAAAAAAAGAGATGGATAGTGGTGAGAATAAATACCAAGTTTAGCTGCTTTTTTTGCAGAGGGGTGGGGGGAGGGAAGGAATATTAGGAGATTCTACTTGTTGGCAGACTGTGATTTCCAGTTAGGATGACCAATTTGTGTGCATTAATAAACTATAGATTTTTTGTAGTGACTTACTTGAAAGTTAGATGCTACAAAATGCTTTCAGCTATTTATGATTATTTTCACCTGGTTTTTTGTTGTTGTTGTTTGTTTCCAAACTTTATCTCAGACACTTTTTTTAATCATTCGTTTACTATCAAGTTTCTAGTTTAACTTGTTTTTAGAATTAGCCAAAAAAAAGCCTTCTAATTAAGTACTATTTCAATTCACTTTGAAAAAAAATTATAGTTTAATAATAAAATCTGCTTGGAAATGGCATCATTTATATGTTAGCAATTTTATGTGGATGTTGTTAAATTTAATTCATACTTTTTCCCCCCAGATCTAGTTACCAAGACTCAAAACTGTTATCAGGTTTCTAACGTTTAAAAAATTATTTAATAACTATGTAACTCATTTTGAAATCATGTCTGCTGTATGTCAGTTTTCAGTTGAAATTTGTTATATCTAGTTTAAAATAATTTTAACTATTCCCAACCTGTTTGTTATTTAGCTTCAGTTTGGAGATTTAATTTATACTTTTGTTGCTATAAGAGAAAATTCAGATTCTTAAAAGATATGAAGGTTTAATTGGTATATATAAAAAGTCAAATGAGGGAGTTGTATTATAATACAATAGTTTTGTAAAACTTTCTGTCAACACATTTCCTATGTCCAACTTCTGTTAGGTATATGAGTTTTAAAAAATCACCTGTTCAGAGTGTGCAGAGTAGTATCATGTACATTTTTATGAAATATAAAATCACGTTACTATTTTTAAAGTTCTGCGGAAGAATTCCAAGGGTGCTGATTTTTGTGGGGAAGAAGTGAGGCAGTTGGTTCCATTTCTCTTTTCCTGTTGTGTTTTTTTTCCTAATCCTGTTCTAAGGATATTCTTGTCTTATTGGATAGAATTTTACCTTTTTTAGACCATTGTTTAAATTTATTTTTCTTCTTGAAAATGAAAATTTGCTTCAGCGAGTAAACTTATTACTTGAGGTTCTTTAAGATTAAGCAAATAGCAAATATGAAATATTGCTGCTCAAATATTATGAAATATGTTGCAAGTGGGCATGTGTGTGGGAAAGGACACTGGTACTTTGGGCATTTAGCCATATTCATTTTTAAAAGAACTACCAATTGTATAAATTGAATGGATAATTTATAACATTAAAATTGTGGTTTTCAAATCACATTGAAGGTTCAGCTGTACTCATTTATTTTTATTGGTTTAACACCAGTGGTATGGATGAAAACCCCAAAAGGGTAATAGTGTGTATTTCTTAATTTATTTGGTACTGTATAACACCTTTTCTGATTGACAAAATGCAGTGTATGCATTTTGGAGCTCTGTTAATTTGTAAAAGTTATTACAGATTCAGCAAGAAAGGAAATTTGTGCTTCCTTGTTGAACGTTAAATTATTTTACTTTGCATTTTATAAGAGTACAAATTAAAACTGAGCCATCGAACTGCAATAAATCAACAGTAGTGTTTCATTTAAGAAGTTTTTTTGTACTGTACATAGATTTGTTCAATAAAACATTGTCCTTGTTGTTAATAAGTGTTCAGTTTTTGTAAAGTTTGCTTTTTAAAAAAAGAATTGGAATATCTTAAAATATTTTATTTTCTCTGCTACCTGATATGATTAAACAAATATTATGACTAACAAACCTCACATAGATCTCTTCTAACTCTAATTCTGAGAGTCTGTGATTCCAGTTTTTGAAAGTCTGCCATAAAATACACAATACCAAAATGATACTAAACAAAATCTAATTTTTATTTAGGAGACAATTTAGGATTTTAGCAGCAATTTAATTTTTTTTGCAGATATCAGTGGGTATTGTATTGTCGATATGTAACAGTAAAAGCTAGTAGAGTTTTGATTTATCAGATAAAAGCTTACTTTTTTTTTACAAAGCATTTTGTAAAAACTTCTGAATTATGAATTCAGGTAAGTAGTTTGAACATGGCACTTTCTCCCAGTTCATGAGGCACAATAGGGATTCGTGTCAAATGAAGTACCTACGAAACTATGGAAGAAAGATTAAAATTTAGAAGTCATTAAGAGGCAATCTTGTACTTGTATTGAAAAACTCTTAAATTCACAGAATATGTGGAGTTCCCCCCAAAAAAAAATAGAGACCAGGTTAATTCAAACAAAAAAAAAATTAGAATGTAATTGAGGGTGATTATTACAAAATGAAAATTCCCTACCATAATGTATTCAAACTTGGGGAAAAAATGAAAAACATCAGTAAAATGTTTGTAAATAAGTGTGATAAGTGAATTCTTATGATCCTATTTCACTGACCTTTTGGCTATCCTGTTTTCTGCCTTATACTGTATCCCTACCCCCCCCCCCAATAGAGAAGGTAGAAGGAGAAAACAAAATTCAGCCTTTTGAAAAATACAAGCATTCTGTGTGAAATCTTTGGTAGAGATACAATCTGGTCCATGCAGGAGTTTATAATCTAGGTCATGCATATATACACAACTATAACATGAGATAGAACTTGTGTGTATGAGAGAGAGTAGTGGCAAAGTTATTCCAGCCAGAGGAAAGAGGAAAGCAAAGAAATAGGAGATTGGAGAGGTACAGAATTTGTTTTGAGGACTACTAGAAGTCCAGTGGCTATAGAGTAGTGGGGAATGGTGTTAAATGATAATTTATTATTTAATGACTAGCAATATTTGATTTTTTGAGACACTACTAAGGAAGCATAGACCATGCTTAGGACAGTCTTAGAAAAATTAAGGTCTTAAAGTTCTCACAAAGTATTAGGAATGTTAAACAAGCATTGGATTCACAACTAGAAATGTATATTTGCAATTTGGTTTATAAAGCTGGAACTCCAAATTAGGTAGGAATAGAACAAGGTGGTTTGGAATTCAATATGAGGTCTATGGACTATCCAGATCCCATTTCTGCATATAAACCAGAAAAACAATACATTATCATTCAAGTATTTATTGAATACATTCCCTAGTTGACTAAACAGTCCTATTAAAGTGGGACATTTTCTTTGTGGACTCTAAACTCATGAATGAAAAAGGAGACAGGAGTTTTTAGCAATACAAAACAAGCAGGTTCTACAATGCAGGTCCATAATTTATAGTAAACATAACCATACAGAGAAAATAATATTCTGAGCCCCATCTGCTTTGATTCACGTGTTTCCCTGGAAGTGAACCTCCTTATTATGTCTGTCCCTGTAGTAAAGAAAGGGCCCAATAAAAGCAGAGATTCTATATAAGAACTTGAGAACTTTGCCAACTTTGGAGTGCCACTACTGCCTCTTCCATTCTCAGTTGAGGGCCTTCCCCTCATACTTTACTGAAAAGAAATATAGGCTGTGTCCCTAAACTCACTCTTTTCCCTCATATCCCTCTGACATCATCTGCCCCCCATATCCTTCTTCCCTCCAGACTCTCATAAAAAAATGGCCTTTGTGCTTGCTAAGGCCAGCTCCTTTACATGTACTGTTTTTTTTTTAACTTCCTTAGGTCTTTTTATTATCATTAAAATACCAATTTCACTTAAATGATAAGAGAAATGTTCAGTGATCAAAACTAATAATACAATACACAAAACGTAATTATTACATATTAGGGATAATAGAAAAGGGTCTAAAAGTTAAATATGCTTAAGCATGAATACATAATATATCTGTTTTAATAGCAGAAGAAAATCAGTATACGAAGATCCATAACATCATTGGCATAGGGAATTCCCAGAGATGAAGCTCCTTCTACCAAAGGAAATGTGCAACTTTTTAAAAAAAATTATTTTTAATTCATAGAATAAAACAAGCATTTCCATAACAGTACAATAAAAGATAATTATACAGGACACTGCAAATCTGCTGTGCACACCTTGCTATTCCTTTCAAATATGCAACGAAATTATGTAAATTTTTTTCTTCCCTCCCCCTCCCAGATGTGTGCCATTATACACAAATAGGGGTGGGTGGCTGTTTGTGTATGTAAAATTGTTCTATACATACTTCTATTTATCAATTCTTTCTCATTTCTTCCATATGTCCTTTATAGTTAATTTGGATATTTATAAGACAAAATAACATCTGCTCAAAGTTTTAAAGCAATATTGCTGTTACTGTATACAGTGTTTTCTTGGGTCTATTCATTTTACTCTTCATTATTTCATTTGAGTCTTTCCATGTTTTTTATAAAATCATTGAGCTCATCATCCATCACAATCATATACCAATTACTGGCATCCTTGCAATTTCCAGTTCTTTGCCACCACAAAGACAGCTGCTATAAACTTTCCTTTTCCCCTAATTTTCTTTGGAAACAGACCAAGTACTGGTATTGCTGGGTTAAAGGGTATAAGTAGTTTAATAACCCTTTGGGCATAATTCCAGATTGCTCCCCAAAATGGTTGGCTCATTTTACAATTCCACCAAAAATTAATTACTGTCCCAATTTTTCAACATCCTCTCCAACATTTGTCACTTTTCCCTTCCTTTTAGTCAATATGGTAGGTGTAAAATGATATCTCAAGGTTGTTTTAATCTGCATTTCTCTATAATGATTTAGAACATTTTTATATGACTATAAATTGTTTTGATTTCTTCTTTGGAAAATGACCTGTTCACATTTTTGACTATCAATTGGGGAATGACTTGTATTCTCTTAGATTTGACAAAGTTATTTATATACTTTAGATATGAAACCTTTATCTGATAAACTATAAAAAAAATTTTTCCCCAATTTTCTGCTTTCCTTCTGATCTTGGTTACATTTGCTTTATTTGCACAAACACTTTTTAATGTAATCAAAATTATCCATTTTACATCTAATTTTGCTCTCTTTTGTTCACAAATTATTTACAAATCTGATAATATATTTCATGTTCTAATTTTCTTGTAAAACCTCTTTATACGCAGGTCATGTATCTATTTTGACCCTATCTTGGTAAATGATGTGAAATGTGGTTTTATGCCCAGTTCTGCCATACTGCTTTCCAGTTTTCCCCAAAATTTTTACCAAATGATGAATTCTTATCCCAAAATCTTAAGTCTTTACACATGCCAAATGCAAGATTAATTTGTTTATTTACTCCTGTAAATTGTATGTCTACTCTATTCCGTTGATCCACCTTTCTATTTCTTAGCCAGTACTAGTTAGTTTTGATAATTACTGCCTTATGATACAGTTTAAGATCTGGTACTGCTAACCTTCCTTCCTTTACACTTTTTTACATTTTTCCTTTGATATTCTTGACTTTTTGTTTTTCTAAATGAATTTTATTTCTTCATAATTCAGTAAAATAATTTTTAGTAATTTAATTGGAATGGCATTGAATATATATATATATATATATATATATATTTGGGTAAAATTCCAAATTTTTTTGTATTTTTGTTTATTTTTATTGTATATTATATTTTTATTTTTATTGTATATTATATTATTATTGTATTTCATATTGTATATTTTGTTATATTGGCATTACCTAACCTTGAACAATATCTCTCCAATTATTTAAATCTGATTTTATTTGTATAAAACGTTTTTGCATAATTTTGTTTATATAGTTCCTGGGTTTGTTTTGGAGGTGTACCTCAGGTATTTTATAGTGTCTAGAGTTATTTTAAATGTTTTTTTTTACTATCTCTTCTTGCAAAGTTTTGTTTGTGATGTGTGTGTGTTTATATGTGTGTGTGTATATATACATATATGTATATGAATGCTGATGGTTTATGTGGATTTACTTTATATCCTGCTGCATTGCTAAGATTATTAATTGTTTCAACTAACTTTTTAGTTGAGTCTTTGAGATTTTCCAAGAATATCATATCATCTGCTTGATGATAGGCCATCCTATCCCTCTTGTCCAACAGGTTGCCTCTACCATCATCTCCACTCACTCTCAAACTTAGATTTCTGCCTAAACACTGGTTTCTTCCTATAAACACACTGAAGTCTCTACTTAAAATGCCCTCAATAGATCCTGCCATGCCCACTAGCTCTTGTCTTACATATCTCCTGCCCTTCTCAGCTAACATCTTTGAAAAGCCATCTATGTTAAGTGCCTCTGCTTCCTAGATCATTTTCTTCTAAACTCTCTGGAATCAGGCTTCCTACCTCGTGATTCAACTAAAATGTTCTCTGTAAAGATAACAAAATATTCTAATGGCCTTTCCCCAATCATTCTTGATCTCTAAAACATTGGATGCTGATTTCTCCTGGTTATTCTTTTCTTTCTGGGTTTGTGTGAGTGATTTCTCTTGGTTCTCCTATCTTGCTTTCTCATTCTTCTTTGCAGGATCTTCATCCATGTCTCAAACCCTAACTGTGGGTGTCCTCTTAACCTCTGTCCTTGGCCTCTAATTTCTATATACCTTCTCACTTGATCTTAGGTGGGTGAACTCATTTGGTGAAACTTTAGGTTCAATGAGCATCATTATGCATATGATTGCCAGATTTATATATACAGCCCTTTCTAACCTTGCATCACTACCTCCTGGACAGTTCAGATTTTGTATGTCCCATAGGCATTTCAAATTCAACATATCCAAAAATTAATTCATTTTTTCCCCCAATCCCACTCCCCCTTTTGAATTTTTCTTATTATTGTCAAGAGTACTAACACCTTTCTAATCTAGGTTTGAATACTTAAATGTCATCCATAACTCTAGCCTCACTCACCGTACATATCTAATTAGATGCTGTATCTTTTCATTTCTTTTTCTCCACCACATATCTGGAATAGATCTCCTTCTCTCTACTCATGCAACTATTATCCTAGTTCAGGACCTCATCACTTCTTGCCTGGATTATTGTAATAGCCTTTTAAGTGGACACCTTGTTTCAAAACTCTCCCTACTCCAATTCAGTTTCCACTCAGTTGCTCAAGTGATTTTCCTAAAGTGTAAGTGACCGTGTCAGCCTCCAACTCAAACAGATCCAGTGGTTTTGCCTTTAGCATCAAATGCAAACTCTTATGTGTGGTATGTAAAGCTCTACAGTCTGGTCCTATCCTATCCTTTTGGTCTTCTTACATATCACTTCCCTCTGCACTTTATGGTATAGTCATACCGGCCTACTTGTTGTTCTTTGCACAGTACACTCCATCTCCCCAATCTTTGTCCCTTTACACTGGCTGTCCTTTTTGCTTCAAATGCTTTCCCTTCTAATCTCTACTTCCTAGAATCCCTAGATTCCTTTAAGACTTAGCTCAAGCCCTGTTTCTTGTAGGAGATCTTTCTTGGTGTCTCCCACTATTAGTGCCTCTCCCACTAAGTAATGAAGAGTCATTGGAGTCTTGAGTGGGGAGGTGCTTTATTTTTAATTTTGATTTTCAGTTCTGAATTTTCTCCCTCCTTCTAGCCCCTCCCTCACCCATCAAGAAAGCAAGAAATATACCTTTTATACATGTGAAGTCACGTGAAAGATATTTCCATGTTACAAAAGAAAAAATGGCAAGAAAAATAAAGTGAAAGAAAAAATATGCTTAAATCTGCATTCAGAATTCATTAGTTCTCTTTCTGGAAGTGGATAGTATTTTTCATCATGAAACCTTTGGAATTGTGGATCGTTGTATTGATCAGAGTAACTAAATCTTTCATAGTTAGTTGCTGTTAACAATATTGCTGTTAGTGTGTATGATGTTCTTCTAGTTCTCCTCACTTCATTTTGGATCAGCTTATGTAAGTCTTCCCAGGTTTTTCTGAAACTATTCACTTTATCATTTCTTAAAGCACAATAGTATTCCATCACAATCATACCACAACTTGTTAAAACATTCCCCAATTGATGGACATCCCCTCATTTCCCAACTTTGGCCAACCAAAAAAAAGGCTGCTATGAAATTTTTGTACAAGGATCCTTTTCCTTTTTCTTTGATCTCTTTGGGGTATATGAGTAGCAATATTGTTGGGCCAAAGGGTATGTACTTTTTTTTTTAATAGCCCTTTAGACATAGTTCCAAATTGTTCTCCAAAATGGCTGGACTAGTTCACAGCTCCACCAACAGTGCATTAGTGTACCTATTTTTTTTTTCCTATATGTCCTCTGGCATTTGTCATTTCCCTTCTCTTTTTCTTTTTTCCCATTTCTATCTTGTTAGCCCGTTGGGCATAGTTCCAAATCGCTCTCCAAAACAGTTGGACTAGTTCACAACTCCACCAATAATGCATTAGTGTTCCAATTTTCCCACATCTCCAACATTTATCATTTTCTTGTTTTGTCATCTTGGCCAATCTGATAGGTTTGATATAGTACCTCAGAGTTGTTTTGATTTGCGTTTCTCTAATCAATAGTGATATAGAGCATTTTTTCCATATGACTTGATAGCTTTGATTTCCTCTCCTGAAGACTGCCTGTTTATGGCCTTTGACCATTTATCAATTGGGGAATGGCTTTTATTTTTATAGATTTGGATCAGTTTGCCAATATATTTTATAAATGAGACTTTTATTAAAGAAACTTGCTTGTAAACATGAATTGTCATTTCTATCAGTATAGAACTTGAGATGGTACTTAAAACTTTCTTGCTGGTTTTCAGAACACTTAATAGAAATTCCAGGGAGCTGGAAGATTCCAAGAAATAAAAATTTCTTCCTATGGGATAGTTCCAAGCACAAAGTTAAATAATGCATATTGTAGTGGAAAGAATGCCAGGAGCCAAAAAACCTTGGTTCAAATCTCAGCTCTGGTAGCTATTACCTGAAGGGCCAACCTTATGCAAGTCTTCTCTGAAGCTCAGTTTCCCATCTCTAAGACAAGGGGGTTAGACTCTAGGTCTCTAAGGTCCATTTCAGATCTAAATCCTCCATGATCATCTTAATGAATCACTGAAGAGTCTGAGGTGTTACTCTTCTCTGAACTAAACTGCTAATTAAGAAGAAATCTAGCCTCTTGTTCCAAAATTCTTATGCAGGATCTTTGTTTCTATTGGGCCCTTTCTGTTGTGCCCATTATTACCACCAGGTCATATATAATAAGGAGTCTTACTTTCAGGAGAACCATATGTGAACCATCGTTGGAGATGGGACTCAGATTAAAATCGTTGTTAGTGTACTTGTGCTATAAAACATGGACACCTACATTGCAGAACCTGCTTGTTTTGTACTTCCAAAACATGTCATTTTTTTTTCATTAATTCTTGGAGTGGGTTTGGATCCCTTGTAGAACACGACCTACTTCAACACACTACTTCGTTAATTAGAATGTGCTGAATAAATGAAAAATTTGAGGAAGAAGGAGGTTTAGGATAGCTACTGACATCATCCTGTTTAGTGAGGGCCAGGCTGAGATTAAATAGTATAATTTTGTAACGGATTCTGACAGCATGGTTTTATTATTTATTCCAGTTGCATTCAGTAACTTGTGAGCAGAGACAAAGGAGGTAAATGATAGGAGTAATGCAAGATTGTTGTTTGGCAAAGCATGTTCAGAGATGGGAAAAAGAAACAAATCGATTTGAGAATAAACAATAGTGTTGGGTTAAACTTTCCCAAGATTGGGAAAGGAGAAAAGTGAAGCCAGAGCAGAACTGATGGGCTGAGATGGTATTGAAAGATGGAGGGATTTAAGAGTCATGATGAAAAGTTTAGCAGGGGTAATTCGTAAGAGATATAAAAAAAATTATGATTAGATAGAAGAATTTTTGGAGTCCTTAAAAATAGAAGTAGACAGGGATGATGAGATCAAGGCTATCACTGTTCTCACCTAGAGCTTAAGTAGATAATGGAAGGAGTAGGTCATGGGAGTTGAATAGCTTGAGGAACTGGGAAGTTTAGAGTATTTATGGGAATATTAACATGTATGTTAAAGTCACCTAGTGAAAGGGTGGGAATTATGGTGTAGAGAAAGAGTATGAACCCAGCAGAATTGAGAATATCCTTGGGCCAATAGATAGGAACTACTAAAATTTGAATTGGGTGATAAATTTGGATTGCAAGAACCTCAAAGGAATGATGGGTATAGAAGGAGAGTCTGAAAATGGCATTGAGAAGCAATGAGTATTCTGACTATCCCAACTTGACTTGTGAGTGAAAGTGTAGCAATATCATTGGAAGGAGTCAGAAGATGGAGGGAGCAAGAGAAATGGTAAAAGATGAAAAGGAAGTTTGTTAATTATGGAACAGGGGTTCCAGAGGGCATACAGACCTGGAATGAAAGTGTGGGGATAGGGCTTTGAGGTAGAAAGGATGATGGAGCTACAGGAGGGGAAGGTATTTGTTCTGTAGTGTGAAGGGCACTCAGTATCACTAGATGAGAAAGGTGGTGGAAGTATGTTAATTAATTGATGGGGAATGAGTCTCTAGGCAGAGTATCAATGAGGTCAGCTGATGAAGACTGGCAATTAGAAGGTTCAAGTTAGACCCTCAAAATTTAAGCACAACTCAAGATTTCAGCATGACTTCAACTTTCCACCCTTGGTGGACATGAGCAGAAGGCACTGTGTTACCAGACAGATGGCTGTTGTGTCCAGGGGGCAGGTAGAATTGTGGCTTTGGGGCTTCTGGAAACCTAGTGAAGAGGAATATAGGTGGTACCTCCTGTCCTTTCTCTAACCAGGAGGGAGGAGGGCCTGGCCATGATGAAACCATTAGAAGAGTGAAAATGGGAGACAAGAAGAGGGAAGCAGAGGAAGGAACACTGGCACCAGGGAATCATAAGACCTATGTCCAAGCCCTGGCTGTGCCACTTAAACTGGTGATATTGGAGAAGTCACTTCATCTCTGAGATCCTGGGACTAGATGACCTATAAGTCTCTTATCTTTAACGTTCCATGTTGCATATTCTTTGCCCTTGGTTACAAATACCAAAATCAATCATCAGTAAGCATTTATTACTGTTTCAGGTACCGCCCTAAGTACTGGATATATAAAGACAAAAAAGAAACAGTCCCTGCCCTCAATAAGCTTACATTCTATGGAGAAAACAATGTGCATGTATATAAAATACATACAAAATATGTACAAAAGGAAAGGAAAGGGCAGGGAGGAAGCACTAGTTGCTGGGGTGTGGGTGGGTGGAGCATTAAGGGAAGGCACGCTATAGGAGTTAGTGTTTGAAATGAATTTGGAAGGAACATAAATACAAGGTCACTTTTTATTGGGAACCTGACAAACATGAACATTTCAGTGTTCGCTATACAGAAAGGATTTTAGAGGAAACTGAACTTTAATTCTTGTTTATTTTAAAAATGTATATCGAATTTGTGACAGAGGTAACAAAGCTTCCTTGCTTGTCTGTCCTCTTAACATGTTCCTCTTTTAAAAATATATGTATATGTGTGTATATATGCACATATACACACACACATATATATATTTCATTTACGCTCCTTCAGAAACTTTTAAATCAAATATTTTAATGCATTAGATTAAGCATGTTTGAAGATTACTGTTTATGTGCTTTTAAATGCTTAAAATTAAAATACACAGGATGATGAGGTAAGCCATGGGTTAGCGAAAATAAAAGATGTATTTTTTTTCCCTTCCAAATGCAAGAATCCCTTGAAATTTATACACCAGTCATAGTGGTGTGCAGGTAGATGTTTTAACAACTAGGTCACCGAAAAAAACGTTCACAGGCACGACACACTTTTAGGTTTAATCTGCAATGATTAACATTTTCTCCATCCCTCTCTCGGGTCCAGTCACCAAAACAAAGAATCAAGCCCAGGTTTGTAGCTTTTGCCTGATTTCTGAAAATTTAACAAGACAGGAGTTGGCTGCGGCACACCCGAACCCCCCCTTAAGAACCCATAGTCTTCACACACACACGTACGTTATGTGTTATAAATACATGTGTATGTCTATACATTGGGGAAATGTCCACTCTCCCATGGGCATTTAGGACACGTGATCGGTCAAACTCTCGTCCTGGGCTCTGGGGTGAAAAAGCGAGGAAGCGAGCACAGGACCGGAAGGACCGCAACACACGCAGACATGTAGAGTCCAACCAGACTCTCGCTCCCGTACGTACATCTCTGACGTCGCTTACATTTCCATCCGGAACAGTTTATTGCTTCTGTCAATGTCGCACTTCCTGCGCAAAGGGTCCCAAACAATCCGTGTGTACTCCTGGGCCATGGGGACAGCCCCAAGTTTAATAAATTGAGGTGGGGGGGCCTTCTCATCCGGAACTTCGAATTAAGATCTCATGTCTCTGGGAGGACATCATTAACTGACGTTCCACACCGCTCCGCGCATGGCCTATGTGGGGAAGGACTTCTGCGCATGGCGCGGAGGGAGGGGAAGAGAGGGGAAACGAGGAAGCGCTTCCGGTTGCAGTGGCTAAGGCGGCTGCCGGGGCGGCGGTATCTCTCCCCACCCCCTGCCCAGGGATCAACATGTCGGGGCTCAACAAGATGGAGCTGGAGGGCTGTCGTGACCTGTTAAGGCCTAATGGAAACTTCCGAAATCTTCGCGCTGTGCGACACCATCACCAACCGCCTGGTTCAGCCCCAGGACCGCCAAGGTGAGGGTGGTTCGGCGAGTATTCGACTCCGGGGAGGGAGGAGCCGCTGTGGGCGCCCCATCCCGCCCCGCTGGGGTCTCGAGGCGGTAGGAGGGAGGGCGGCGAGCCGGGGATCCCGGGCGCAGAACCGGCCGCGGCGGGCCCCGGGCTCGCTCCGGGGCGCCCGCTCTGCTCCCTCCCTTTGTGACGCCGCCGGGGCGGGTCCCGCATCGCGCCCAGCGGCCTTCCAGGTTTCGGCCCGGGCCCTCCCGCTCCTCGGCCCGTGGGATCTCCGCGCTTGGGGACGGGACGCTCCCCGCCGGCTTCCTGACCTGGGAAGGTTTCATCTTCGTGGTCCCTTCCTCCTCAATCCTACGCGTGAATTGTATCTTTAACCTTTAAAAACGGGGTTCTGAGGAGTCCGCAGACTTCGCCCGGTTGCGATCCCCGGGATCTGGGCCAGTGCTCGCGCTTTGTAATGAGGAAGCCGAGGAAGGCGCGCAGCCAGCGGCCGCGTTGCGACCTCTTTGGGAGCGCACGTTGTCACTTGGATGAGCCATAGCAGACCGATCAACTTTTTTGGGCCGCAGTTCCCGCGCTTGAAAAATTAAGGGGTTTAATTAAGACATTTTCCAAAGTTCAGCTGTAAATCTGATTAGGAAGAGCAGAGTCGGACTTTACCCTCAGGTCTGGGTAAGGTGGGCAGCTAGGGAAGCAGTGGCTGCAGTACCAGGTTTGGAGTCAGGAAAATTGAGTTCAAATTCGGCGCCAGACTCTTGTGTGACCCTGGTAGTCAGCTTAACCCTGTTTGCCTCAGTTTCCTCCTCTGTAAAGTGAGCAGGAGAAGGAAAAGGCGAACTGCTCTATTATCTTTGCCAAGAAAACCCCATTGAAGAGGCAAAAGATGCCCTTGCCTTCAAGGAGCTTACAGTGTAATGGAAGAGGTGCTACGCAAAAAATATATACAAAGCAAACTGTATATACAGGATGAATAGGAAATATTTAAAAGAGGGAAAACACAGGAATTCAGTGGTTAGGGAAGTTTGAATCCTTTATCAGACATTTATCAGCTGTGTGACACTAGGCAAGTCACTTCTCTGTTTCTCCTTTGCTTACTCTGTAAAATGAGAGAATTGGAACTATGATTGATGTAAAGACTCAGAAAACTTGGGTTTTAATGCCATCTTTATTGGGAGGTGTTCTATGTGACCTTGGGCAGGTCATTTAACTTCCACAAACCTTTTTTTATTCGTTTCTTAAATGAGAGGAGTTGGACTAGATAGGAGTTCTTAACCTGTGGTCCATGAATTTCATTTGGTTTTGTTGGGGTTTTTAAAAAATATTTTGATAGCTGTAAATATAAAATTTTTTGTAATCCTATATGTTTTATTTTTTGCATTTAAAAATATTGAGAAGAGTTTCACCATACTGCCAGAGGAATCTATGATGATACAAAAAGGTTAACCTCTGACCTAGATGATCCCAAAGTCTCTTCTAATTTTGATATTCTAAGAAAGTGTTCTTTTAAATTCAGTGTACTTTCCACTATTTCCCTTCTTCCCATTCCCCCAACCCCATTTGGAGACATTCAGTATTAAGTGCCCAGGGTCACACAGCTAGTAAGTGTCTGAGGCTAGATTTGAGTTCAGGTCCTCTTGACTTCTGGGCCAGTGCTGTATATATACTTGCTACATAGCTGCCCCTCCACTACTTTCTGTTGCTCTTCCCTTGCTAGTTAATTCTTTCTGCTTTGTCTCCAATGCAGAATTGCTTTATTAGTTCAAGCACATATCCATTAACTTTTTCATGGAGCACATTGGACAAATCTGTGTTGATTTATGTAACACTTATTCTAGTTAAGTAAATATTGTGAATATTTCTAATGAGCCTATCCATTTTCTTTGATCATTTCAACCATGTATTGAATTCATTAGTATCTCTCTTTGGGTCTTGTACTTTTATGTGAACTTTTCTTGCAACCATTTCTTTGAAGACCAAATGTATATTTGGACATGGCTTTTGTTTTTGTTTGTTTTATTTCAGCAGAGGGATTGACTGTAACTTTTTTTGTTCCTATAAAATTAAATTCTGCAGATATAAGCCGTGATTGAATTGCATGTTATATAACTGTCGTTTTCGTGCTTATTTTGGAGAAGTTAACCATTTCAGAATTGGGCTTTGTGGTATAGTGGAAAGTCAAAGGAACTCTAGATTCAAATCCTGGCTCCACTGCTTGCTGCTTATCTGACCTTTGGCAAATCATTTCACATCTCTGAACTGCATTTTCTTCGTTTGTGAACTGAGAGCTTTAAAATAGATGTCTTCTAAGATCCCTTTCAGCTCTAAATCAGTGATCCTTTTTAAAAAAAATTGCTATTTGTTAAGATTTTGCTTCAGTTTCTATATTTGTAAAATGAAATTGTTGAACTAGATGATCTCTAAGTCTTTATTCAGAGATTCTACAATTTATAAATATGAGGTGGTTGGGTTTTTGTTCTGAGCCTGTAATTTCCATAATTAGAGCACTTCCAGTGAAGAAATTCCTTCTACCAATTTAGTTTTACAACTTATAAAGATGGAGATTAAGAGGAGTGAGACTGAGAAATTAGATTATTTCCCCAGAATCCCATCCCAACTGGGTATGATTTGAATCCAGGTGTACCTGACCCTGAGAATATTATGCTATATATCTCTTTACCTTTAAAAAATATTATTTCCCAATTTTGAAAATTAAACCTTGAAATTAATTTAAATTCCACTTTCAGAAGAAATTATTTGTTTGAAACTTTGGTTTAATTATATGAATCTTTTAAGTAAGAAATTTCTTAAGTATTGATTCAGTTGAATATTCTATTCAGTCACTTATTCTATTTAACACACATCATTTCATTTGATTCTCACAATCCTATGAAAAACGCTGCTGGCATTTTGTCCGGTTTTTATGAATTGAGGAAACAGGCTACAAGCACTTAAATGATTGGCCCACGGTACTTAAAGGGTCTATTGATGAATGGTAACCAATAAATGTTGGAAGTAAAATTTGAGCTCATGTCTTTCTTAACTTCAAGTTTTATACTTTCTTTCATTACAGTAATCTAGGATCCTATGAAACTTGAATACTAGAACTAGTTCTGATCTCCAGCAGCTTTTTGTGTTTGATAGATCCATCCATCATATCATCAGTATGAATGCTCCCTCAGTGGATGCAGATTGCAACCCCTCCAATCTTCTCATTCTCTGCAATTTTTACTCATGTCTTTGCATAAATTTTCCTTTGAGGGCTCTCCCACTGTGTGTTAGGACTTTCTTTTGTTCTTTTTCTGTCCAGGGGTACCAGTGTAGCATTTAGTTGTCTTTTTTTGGTCTCATTCTTCACGTGACAGGCCTACTACTTTTTTATAAGCTTCAAAATAAGTTATAAAATCCTATGGTTCTAATTGAATTTAACTTTTCAGCATAAAAATTTGAATAGTGTTCTTAATAACTACCATCTTAAAATCCTGCTATTGAAGGCAAAAGTAATATGTGCTATTTGGGGAATATTTCTTTTTGGGGGAGGGGAGTTTAGGCAGTTGGGGTTAAGTGACTTGCCCAGGGTCACACAGCTAGTAAGTGTTGGAATATTTCTTCTTTTAAAGAGACCGAATGCAATTTTTCATACTGTTTCTTTGGAAGCAAACTTTTTATTTGAATATAAAACTAGTTGTAGAGAAAGGAGAATTTTGAAGGGTAGGAATTTGATGTAGCTTCATTTGGAAATTTTTAGAACAAAAGTCATTATTAGTTTAACTTATTCATTCATTCATTTGTTTATTTTTGCAAATTCTTTCCAGATGCCATTCGTGCAGTATTAGCTTATAGTCAAAGTGCTGAAGAACTTCTGAAGAGAAAAAAAGTATACAGAGAAATCATATTTAAGTATCTAGCAATGAAAGGAGTTATTGTGCCTCCAGGTTCTGAAAAGCACAGTCTTATTCAATATGCAAAAAATCACTGGAACAAGCCAGAGTTGAAGGTGGTGGAGGAAACAGTGGAGAGCGTTCCAAATACAGAAGACACCATACTATTTGAACAAGTTAAGATGACTTTTATTTTCTTTAAATTTTTGTACAATTTGGAGATAACGGAATAATCTTGAATTTGGCAGAAATTACTGTCTTTTGTTGGCTTTAAAAACACCGTTTTGCTTTTTCTTCCTAAGAAGTATAGAGCTCAAATCTAAGTTTTTAGGAGTTTTAAGGAGTTGTCTTTGGCATTGAGAGGTTGAGTGGTCCATGGTCACAGCTTGTATATAGGCCCCAAATGCAGATCTTCCTGACTACTAGGTTGTCTTGTCTAATATGTCATGCTGCCTTTTATAATTTTGTCATATAGATTATATAAAGTATTATTTTATTAGTTTGAGACAGAGTGTTATCTTGGAGTTTTTTTTGGTCTGACACAAATTCAATTAAAAAAACCTATTGTCCTAAGGAGAAGTACTGTGATAAAAATACATTTTTATGACAGCCTGGGAGCCTGAAGAAATAAAACTATATGTAGTAAAATTTCAATTCCAAATTTGTGTTAATTCAGACGAGGAGGCTTACATCCCATTGTTTATGCCCTACGATTTGCTGAACATATTAATAGTGTAAACAGTATTGCCAAGGCAGTATTGTTTATTTCTAAGATACGTTTTTATGCTTATTTATGTGTTAACAGATTAAATTAATAAACTAATTTAGTCAGGTAGCCAGAACATCTTTATTAAATGGACCTTTTTTTTTTAGTTTCATTTATTTATTTTTAAGTTCATTTTCATTTCAGTAAGTATTTCCCAATTACATTTCTTAAAATAACATGAACTTCTAAAAAAAATGAATTCCTAATTCTCTTTATCCCTCCCACCCCTTAAGAAGGCAGTTATACATGTGAAGTCATGCAGTGCATATTTCCATGTTAGCCAAGTTGCATAATAAAACTCAAAAATACCCAAGAAGAAAAAAAGGTGGAAAAAATATGTTTCAGTCTATAAGTACAGTTCATCAGTTATCTCTCTGTGGGTAGATAACATTTTTCTTCCTGAGTCCCTTGAAATTGTCTTGGATTATTGTATTGCTGAGATTAGCTAGGTCATTCACAATTGATCATCGTACAATATTGCTGTTCCTATGTATAATTTTCTCCTGGTTCTGCTCTTAAATGGACCTTTCTTTAATTTGAAATAGTTTTTATACTTGGAAGCAAAACTACATTTAAAAAAACCTAAAAGTATAATTTGTTTTACTCATACTGTCCTTTCTCTAGTTCAGAAAAGTGACATTTTATTTAATATATGTTCAGTGAGGGTAATTAAAAAAAATCTATGTCACATTATTAGTCTGTTATAGTTTGTTCTTGAAAGAAACTTAGTTGTTAAAGTTCTATAACTATCTTGGACCATCTTAATTCTTACTGATTTTGAGTGAGAACTTTAAAAAAAAAATTAATAGTTAATTATTCTTTGATAATGTGGAACTATTTCCTTTTATCCTATTAATAAGGAACTACAAGTGAAAAACCAATGTAATTAAAACTGGTTCAGCACCATGGTACATTAATGAAAATGTTTTTATAATAAGCACCTATAATCCTAGAACCATTTAGGGTTTGTCACTGCCTGAAAAATACTAGGCATCAGTTCCTGCTTCTATTCAGTTAGATTCTATATATAAATCTCATTTTCTAGTGTTTGGTCCAAGCATCTGGTTGTTGTTGTTGCTTTTTTTTTCCTGTATCTTTTGAATTGAAAATTTAAGGATAGATAAGGTTGTTGTCATATAGCAGTTTGGGAGAATATATCCAAGGAAATTGGAATATAGTTAGTATGAGCTATTCAGTGTCTATCATTGCTTTATTTTTTTACTTAAGCAAATCAGTTTGTGTACAAAACGCATAAAAATATAAGGGTAGAGTAAAAATTCTTAGAAAATGATTTTTTTAAAAGAAATGTTCAGCATTATCAACAACAGTACCTTCCTGTAGCAGTATTGGTAATTTACCCCCCCCCCATAGTTTTCATAATTGGCTGCTCCTTTTCTGTTTATTATTTTGAAAATAGCCAACAAAATTATGAAGTCTGTAGCTCTTGGATCATAGATGTGTAGATCTCAAAGGACCCTCAGAGGTTCAGACTCATCTTTTTATAGATGAGAGAACTGAAGTTTAGGGAAGAAGTAAACATCAGTGTCAGTACTTGAATCCAGATTCTCTGACTCAGAGTCAGTGCTTTTTCATCGTATCATACTATCTAGATAAGTTTTGTGTGTGCCCTAAAAGTTTTGGTCCATAAACCTGTATCTCTTAATATGGATCTTTGGTCTTATCACATAGGGGTGGGAAGCCTTTGGCCTCAAGGTGAAATGTGGCCTTCTAGGTCTTCAAGTGCAGCCCTTTGACTGAATCCAAACTTCACAAAACAAATCCCCTTAATAAAAGCATTTGTTCTATAAAATTTGGAGTCAATCAAAATTTTGCATCCAAGGATCAAGAAGGCCACATGTGGCCTCAAGGCTGCAGGTTCCCCACCCCTGGTGACTATTCTCTACAGCAATGCAGATCATTATGTGTATATACCTGCCCATTCTATGTGACTCTTATCCATGTCCTTGCACAGGTTCACCCTAGGAAATCCATACCACCATCTGGGTGGCATTCCTTATTTTTCTCCTGACATCATAATTATATTGGAGTACACCGTCTTTCCCTTCACCAGTTATATCTTGCTGTCACCAAGAGTCCTCTTTCTTTTCCAGTGTTACATTTCTCTGAAGACAGCCTTTACTAAAGTTCTCTTTTGTAGTTCTTTGTTATATTTGTGAGCTATATTTGTCAGAGACTGTAGGGTTCCATGATTCATAGCCATACAACAAAACTAGTAGACTATTGATATTAAAATAGATGAGCCTTTGTGTCTGGGAGAAGTTTGAGAACGTTGAAGGAGCTGTGTAATTTACTAAAGATTGTAAAGTCATGAGATCTTTCTTCCTATTAATTTTGGGCCTGGTTCACTATTAATTTGCATGTTCTGTCTAAGGCACATAGATGTTTATTGTTTCCATGTAACCTAGACTTTAAAAATGGATCACAAAGCTAACCTAGATTTTTCTTTACTGACAGGAAAAAAAAGAGAAAAAACATGAACAATTTGATGATTGTTACAAGTTAGGAGAAGAATTCTGCCAGTGGTTCTTTGAGCTTCTCAACTCTCAGAATCCTTTCTTTGGACCACCCCTAGAAAAATGGGGACCACAGCACTTCTGGGATGACGTCAAGCTAAAATTTTGTTATAACACATCAGAACAAAGTGTGATAGACTATCATGGTTCAGAACTGGTGAGCCTTCGTTTACTGTCTCTGGTAAAAGAAGAGTTTCTGTTTCTTAATCCCAACTTAGATTGCAGTGGACTGAAGTGTGTATCCTCTCCACATGGATTAGTTATAGTCGCAGTTGCTGGCACTGTCCACCGAGGCAATATGTGTTTAGGCATCTTTGAACAAGTATTTGGACTCATCCGTAGCCCTTTTCTAGTAAACACTTGGAAAATAAAATTTATCAATCTGAGGATTGTTGGACAGAATTCCCTTGAACCTGGAATGACATTGGAGAAACCTTCAATTACACTGGAATCCAATGAATTAGAGTCCTTATATAATGGAAATGGAACATGTAGTAGAATTGAAGCATTAGTTACTGAAACCCCTGTTTTGTATGGTGGAAGTGGAAACCAGGCATTGTGTCATGAAAATGAGGCATCACTTAACACGTGTGAATTGGAAATACCTAATCCTCCAAAACACTGAGCACTGTATGTCAAATTAAAAAACGTTTTTTATTCAGAACCTCTTCAGCTTACGCTGTACCAGTATTGCTCAGATGATTTCAGGCTTGCAGGGTTGGCATGTTTCAGTTTAGATACTTTTGTTGACGAGAAACTAAAATTTTATGTCAATGCTTATCTCTTTCCATTTCAGTTTTGGCAAATATTATGAGATCTTGATGCTGTTATATCAAATAACTTTCACTTTAGATTTCATAATTAATGTGCCTTAGAAATCAAGTGATATTTTCGTTTTATTTTGCAGAAATTCTAATTCTCCTTTCTAAATGTCAGCTTTGTAACAGAAAAAAATGTATAATAGTGTGCATAACTTCCCTTTTAGGTTCTTACTTTAAGTTATTTGTACACATAGTTGATATTTTAGAAACATTTCCCATTGATGAGCTGTTACAAAATAGAGTGTAGCTATAATGGAAATCATTTTCCCACTTGAGTTCCTGAGTGGTAGCCTTAATGCAAATCAAATAATTGAGCCGTTGGATGAATTTAATTGTATTTAAGGGAAAATTCCAGTGGTTTCTACTATGGCTGTTCATCGTGCACATTAAAACTTATTTTCTCAAACTATTTTGGAATTGGCAATGCTGATTTCAGAAAGAGCTAACACTGATCCTTATTTATGTCTGCTTGATAAAAGATGCAGCTTTTTATATACTACCTTTAAAAATTATTGTTCTAAAATCATCTTGATTGGTTTAAGATTTTTTTTTTAATAGTGAATTTCACTCACAAGTTGTTTTTTGTTTTTGTTATTTTTTCCCCTGCTTAATTTGTGTTTGGGTTACTTGATTACCAGAAATAAATTAATGAAAATTAATTAATTGGCTTACATTCCTCTTCATTCAACTATTTGCTGATTACCCGGGATTTAGTTGTTGGGTTTTTCTTTTTAAATTTATTTTATGGAATAAAAAGCATTTCTGTAATATAAAAAAACATGATTATGTATGAAACCGCAAATCTACTGTCCACAACTTGCTATTCCTTTCGAACATACAACAAAATTATCACATAAATTTCTTTTTTTCCTCCTTTTTTTCTTCCCTTTCCCCCTCCCAGCCTAGAGATGGCTACCATTAGACACAAATAGATAAAGGATTTAGCTTTAACCAATGAAAGAAATCTAGAGTGTTCATATAAATCTAGAAATTGCTGAGTGAAGTTTCATTGCATATAATTGTATATGCAGGGTTGGAAACTAAGTCTTCTTGATTTCAAGTCCAGGACACTATCTAATATACTATCCAACACTACCTCTCTTTATCCATAATTGATGAAAGATAATATCTTAGCAGAAAGATGTATGTATTATTACTCCTCCTATGAACTGCTCCTCCCTAGTAGGTTTGTCTCAAGAATATGAGACTTCAGTCTTCTTTTTATATATATATATATATATACACACACACACACATACATACATATATATATATACACACACACACATATATATATACACTTAGGGTCTTTTTGCAAATTGAAGGTCTTTGATGTAGATTAAATGTCTTCCCCACTTCAGGGTTCTATACTTTTACCATAAGATTTATCTTATTTTCTCTTCTCCATTTTGTAAGGGGGGAACATTTTGTAAGGGCACAAAACAAGGCAGGATAGGGAACGTAGACCTTTTCAAGACAAGATAAAGGCCAGATTGGAACCATTATCTCCAGGGCATTAAGAGTGCTGGAGTATTATGGGGAGAGGAAAGGAGTCCTTATCTTAATGACTCAAGAATTCATGCTTGAAGCACGAAACAAGACCAAGGCCTCTTTGAGGAAGCAGAATGTGGATTAAAGTGCACCTTTTTTTTTTTTGCCAGAACTGAAGATCACAAAGGGATATTATCCATGTCTTTTCCAGCGTGCATTATTTTCGTCCCCTTCACGCACATTATAGCTGTTTCTCACACATAAAATTATATTTCCCATCCCTGTACCTTTGTACAAGCTGGCCACTAGCCTCCCTCTTAGAAGGCCAAGTACTACCTCCCATTGAGACCCTTCCTGTCCCCTCTGCCCCATTACTTTATATTTATTTTGTATAAAATGTACTAATACAGTGTGCATGTAGTTGCCCCTATAGAATGTAAGCTACTTGAGAGCATAGGCTTTCATTTTTCTCTATCCCCAGAGGCTAAGTACTGATAAGGCACGTAGGAAATATTTGTTGATTAATTGACTACCTTTGTGCCCCTCTTCTGTCATTATGTAACTGCAATGGCCTTCAAAAGATTAGGGAGTGTTTGGAATCTAGTTGTAGAAGCTCTTCTGTACAGATAATTGTAACAAAGTTGGTTAGACTAGGGGACTAAATTATTTCTGTAGGAAAGCCTGGTCTTTGGATACTGTATGTAGACTAAGGGACTTTATTAGAAGTAAGCTTTTTTGAACTACCTATACCCTTTAACCCAGCAACACTGCTGCTTGGTCTGTTTCCAGAGATGATTAGGGAAAAAGAAAAATTACCTATCTGTTCTAGAATGGTTATAGCAGCTCTCTTTGTGGTGACAAAGAACTGGAAATTGCAGGGATGACCATCAATTGGGGAATGGCTGAATAAGTTGAGGTATGTGATGGTGATGGAATACTACTGTGTTATAAGAAATGAGCTCAATGATTTTAGAAAAACATGTAAAGGCTTGGATTAATTAAATAATGAAGAGTGAAATGAGCAGAACTAAAAGAATGTTGTATAACAGCAATACTGTTTTAAGAACAACTTTGAGTGACTGAGTAATTTTGTCTATTATAAATACCCAGAGTAGCTATAAAGGACATGTGAAGAAAGATACTATCTGCATCCAGAGAAAACTGATAAAAAGTATGTGTAGAATAATTTTATATGTATATACTGATTCGTGTCTAATGGTAGCCATAGGTGTGGAGGGGAGGAAAAAAAGGAAATTTACATGATAATTTTGTTGTATATTTGAATGGAATAGCAAGTTGTCCATAGTAGATTTGCAGTTTCATGTACAATCATCTTTTTGATTGTACCATGTTATGGAAATACTTGTTTAATTCCATAAATTAAAACTAAAATAATAAATAAGTAAAGCAAATTGATGTGGCCAGAAAAAGTAAGCTTTTCTAAGCTAAGAAGAAATAATCTTATGGAATAAAATAGTAGCAATCTACATTATCCTTTAGAATATAAGATACTTTTTCAGTGAATATGATTTATTATATAAAATAGCAAATTAGAAGCCACTTTATATTTAACTTTAAATGGACTATATTAATGGCCTGTGTCAGAGGGGAAGAATATGTATAGCTTGCCAAAAAGTTAATATCTGGAACTTAGTTACCTAGCTACAATAAGAGATTGATTCAGTTAACTAGATGGAGAATTAAAGCTTGGGCAAAAATAGTCACAAGGAAAGAAGTTCAGTTTATAAAAGTTCGTATGCAAAAGCACAGAGAAAACTAAGGTATGAACTTAAGAGCGCAATCATAGAGAAGTTGTTCTTAATGATGCTTTTTGAGTGTTACAATTATTAGATATCGATACTACTTCCCCACTGTTGAAAAAAAAGCCTCAAATTCTTTTGTGAGGGCCAGCTAGGTGGTACAGTAGATAGAGCACTGGCCCTGGAGTTGATTTTTAATCTAATATCAGCTAGAGTACACAATTAGTTTCAAAGCAAAAGCATTTAATAAAATGGGAGAGGGGGTCAGAGAAAAAACATTTCTTTCAAAATCCTGGTGCTCACTCTCCTACAAATAAATTGTCAGTGGGAAACGAAGCTGCTTAGGGAGCACATGGTCCTGGCACATGGGAGAAAAATGTGACCAGGGCACAGAGGAGTAACCTGTGCGTCCAGTGCTGAAGAGCCACTGATATTTACTGATGTAATGGTGAGATCATTATTCTGGGCTCCCTGATGGTATCATGTGGCATCTGTCTTAGCTACATAATCTCACACACACTACTAAGCATTGCTCAGCTCTTCTTGTGGTTGTAATTAATAATAGTAATAAGCTAACTTTTATTTAGCATCTACTATGTGCCGAGCACTGTGTTAAGTACTTTACAATTATCTCATTTTGGTCCTCACAGCTGTGTGAGGTAGGTACTGTTATCATCTCCATTTTACTATGAGGAAACTGAGACAATCAGAGGGTTATGTGACTTGTCCTGGGTCACACAGCTAGTAAGAGCCTGAGGTCAAACTTGAACTCAGATCTTCCTGCCTCCAGGCCACATGCTGTATCCACTTCATCACCCAACAGCCACCTAGGTATTGGTTTGCTAGGCACATGTTTGTGGAGTTTCTCTTTGCTTTGAGCTTTTAACTTTAGCTGTAGTCCTCAGCTAAGGTGCTATCTCCCATAAGAGAAAGATTAGATTTTAACATCTCCCTTTTAGGTTGGAGCCCAGAAGCTTAAGCTTCTGTTCTTTTAGTCAGAGAAGCAGTACCTTCCCTATTCAGTATCAAACTATGGGAAAATCCTTAGCTGCTTTGTTTTCATAAGGGGAACTTGCCAAACTCTTAGCTCTTTTGGAACATAGAATAGCCGACCAAGTTCACCCTCTTGCTTATGTTCCAAGTCTGTCAGACTCAGGGTTAGAAATTCCCAGTAACTCCTGTTTAACACTTAATGGGGAATCTTATTCTCTCAAACCTGTGGGAGAAAAGGAGTCAAAGGAGGTGGGTTGCGAAAAAAACCCCAAGAACTGTGTAGATCTGAGGGCCCTTTCACTCAGACTCAAGAACTTCTTGGTCCTCTGCAAATGAATGGGTCTGAGTGTGGAATAGGGGTGGGAAGGCTATATATATTGTAAAAATGTGAAAAATCATTATTAATAACCAATATCTTGGGCAGATTCAGAGCTTCCACCCACTCCCCTTCTTCCAAAGTCATGAGTTTCGTAATTTCAGTTTTTCTGCAGAAGGACATTACACATAATGAGATTGCCTTGATTCTACTTGTTCTGGTCAGACCCCACCCAAGTTTGTAAGGAATTTAAAGTGGTGGAGAAGCCTGTCTAGATGGCCTGAGGCTGAGATCTGTCTGGTATAGAGATATTTTCTCTGTCCAGGGGTAAAATGATGATGGAGTTACATTAGCCCTCATTGAAAAAGGTATATAAACTGTGCAGCTTAACCCCAAAATGAGCTCAGTTACTGATAGCAGCTCCCATGCATACATGTCTGCTCCCCTTAGAGAGAAATAAACATGCATACAGCCTAATTCTGTTTGTCTTTCTTAGAACTCTGAAGGTTGACAATATATATGTATGTATATATGTATATATAGTGAAAAATGATTTTTCTTAGTAATCAGTATTTTGGAGACTCAGAGCTTCCCCCCCTTGTTCAGTCTGCCCTTTAGAAAGACATTACTGATAATGAGATTGCATTGAATTTCCTTATCCTAGTGAGACCCCAACCCAAGCTTGAAATAATTTTATCAAAGGTAAGGAAGCTCCTATGTTTTGCTCAGGCTTGAGTGGAGACAGATTCTTCTGCCTAGATAGCCCAAGGCTGGGAGTGGTCAGATATGGTTGGGTGGGGGTGGTGATCTGATAGAAGAGTTGTACTCTGTAGGGAGAGGGGTGATATTAGCCCTTGTTGAAAAGTCATATAACTGGGCACCCCAGTCCCCAAATCGAACCAGTTCTGGACTATAACTCCCATGCAATGCATGTATGTCACCAGCTTGAGAGAAAATAAACATGCAAACAAACTAATTCCATTTGTCTTTCTTAGATCAAACTGTTTTGGAGTTGACATTTGGTTCCACGACTCAGATTTGTACTGGGCCTTGGAGACTGGACTCTTCTCCCAACCCCACCCCAGTTCCAGCACTGAGA